GGGGGGGGGGGGGGGGGAATTTCATTATCTTTCATCACAAATAAAAACTTTAAAACATAAAAACCAATGGTTGGTCATCTCGATTGAAAACTTTTCCATTTCTCCTATACTATAATACATATCTAGATGATATACTTCAAACAACCAAAAGTATAAATATTCTACCCCCCCCCTTACCCCGTTACTCCCCTTACCTCTTTACTCTCGTCTTTACCCCTCCCCCCTTCATCACAATCTTGAATTTAAAAAGCATGTTTAACCTTGTCTCTAAAAGTGCAGTGTGGGGGGGCGAGGAATGAAAAAAGACCGCGAATTCCTGGCCCCTGCGGTGAAGGGCTTTATCAGACTAATGACATTTTTGGAACAGTTTTTAATTATTTAAACCCATCGATTAAGATTTAGAATTTTAGAAAAATGTGGATTTATGTCGGTGTAGAGATATTCTTTATACAGAGTGTCGCAGAAAAAGTGAGAATTTATCAAAAAAACAAACAATTAGAGAATTGTTTTCTCTTCACTCTCTTAACCGTTGAAACTAATTTTTGTTTACTTTGATGTTTAGTTGTATTTATGGTATTATTAAATAACTTGAAATTTATGTAGATATTGTTATATTTAGTAATTATTTTGAACATTACACTTCTCTCTTTTAATATTCCAGAATTATGCAAGGTTTTTGGGACACACCGTAATAGATTAAACAGTAGGGTTGAATCAATCAGTGTTCTGCCTACTCCTACTCCTACTCCTACTCCTACTCCTACTCCTACTCCTACTCCTACTCCTACTCCTACTCCTACTCCTACTCCTACTCCTACTCCTACTCCTACTCCTACTCCTACTCCTACTCCTACTCCTAATCCTACTTCTACTCACACTCACACTCCTATTCCTACTCCTACTTCTATTCCTACTCCTACTTCTACTCCTACACCTACTCCTATACTCCTATCCCGCCCCACCCCCACCCCGTGTTGACCCGTATGTCCAGCTGTCCAACAACTGCTCTGCCACCTGTCCGAAATGTAAATATACTTCACAATATTATTTAATTCGGAATTCAGTAGAATTTAAGATAGGAAAATTTATTTTTGAAATATAAATATTTTCTGAAAGAACATCCCCTGTTAATCTAACTGTTCCACTGGTATCCAAGCTTAACCCAAACAATGCTTGTTATTCGGCTTCAATTCTTAAATTCCAATTCTCTAATTATCAAATATTTATAGAATTCAGAATCATCTTAGATCTTCAGATTCCTATCTTTGCAGGATGTACGCGTTAAATATTAAAGTGTTTTGATTCAACATGGGTGTAAAACTCAGGATTTTTTTTTGTGGCATCTTTAAATATTTGTCACATTTCTGTCCACAAATGATATCATTTTTTTTATTTAGCTCATTTGCTCCAACAGATTCAAACGATGATTTCACCCTTTACCGATTTCTGTGTGGTAAACTATTAGAATTTTTTGTTTTTGAAGTTAATGGTAGATGTAAGAAGCTAGTCTTGAAAGGTAGAATTAGAGTGTGCTAAATATAATTATAAAGTAAAATACAGGTTAACTAAACATAAACAAACACTAAGGGTAGGTGTTAGGCGTCTTTATAAGCATTCATTGTACAGTTGCATTTGTTTAAATTTTTAAAGATAAAGCAATGTTTCCAAATTTCTAAAACAGGACATCTTTTGGTCTGATAGATAGGTTGGTACGCAGTATATTCTATTCTAATTAATAGATAGATAGTTTCTTCCTTCATTTTATTCTAATAATTTGATAGTTATGTAGTTTCTCCCTTTATTTGATTGTAATAGTTTGATAGTTAGGTAGTTACCCCTCTTATTGATAGTTAGGTAGTTATCCCCTTTATTTGACTATAATAATTTAAGAGTTAGGTACTCCCCCCCATATCCCCTTAGGTAGTTAGTGTAGTAACCCCCTTTATTTGATTCTAATAATTTGAAAGTTAGGTAGTTACCCCTTTTATTCGATTATGATAGTTTGATAGTTAGTATATTTACCCCCTATATTTAATTCTCATAGTTTGATAGTTAGTATTATTTACCCCCTTTATTTGATTCTAATAGTTTAATAGTTAGTATAGTTACCCCCAATATTTGATTCTAATAATTTGATAGTTAGTATAGTTCCCCTCTTTATTTGATTCTAATATTTTGATAGTTAGTATAGTTACCCCCTATATTTGATTCTAATAGTTTGATAGTTAGTATATTTACCCCCTATATTTGATTCTAATAGTTTGGTAGTTAGTATAGTTCCCCCCTTTATTTGATTCTAATATTTTGATAGTTAGTATAGTTACCCCCCTATATTTGATTCTAATAGTTTGATAGTTAGTATATTTACCCNCCCCCCCCCCCCTACCCCCTTATGTAGTTTGAAAGTGAGTAAGCTAAAGGTTTAGTAGGTTGAGTTAACACCCAATAAATCAAAATTATGTCCCCGGATTTTAACTTTTTTAGGCACACAACTCTGAAAAGCATGGAACAGATTTTCAAATATTTAAACTTTTTTTCTTTCAAGTTTAGTCTAGTCTTTTTAATGCAATTTTAGGTTATATTAAATAAATTGATATTATTAATATTTATATTCTATCAACTACAGTCAAATTTGTAAAGTTTGTTTATTGCTCTTTAGAAATGGGCAATAAGTATGAGCATTTATCTACTATGTTATATATCTATCTATCTAAGTATATAAGTTTCAACTACTGGAATTAACTCCTTTAGTCACACATCTTTTTCCCTACAGCACGAGTATAATAATCAACAAGAGTTAAAAACTCACATTTTTTACAATTCTCCCAAAACAGTGTAAAAAGATGGATTTACAAAAAATAAAATACATGGTGTGGGTTCATGACTAATAACTGATATTTGATCTCTCTTTTCAAACTAACTCTTCAACAAGAAAAAAGGGTGATTTACAAATTATTGCTTCTTAATATTATTCATGATTTATTCTTCGGAATTATTCAGAATATTTTTAATGCATAAAAGGGTGGAATGAAAACTAAAATTATGAATATTTCCTTTCCATAATTCCTTTTTATGCCAATTTAGATTTAGTCATATTTACAATTTTTGGACGTTATACAAAACTCTTTTACAGTAAAAGAAAGGAGAATATTCAATAGACTTAGCAAATATAAGAAGCAACATTTTTTATAGATA